TCCTTAAAATCATGTTTTCGATGAAATATAATGATACATGTGCTTGTTCATCTAAGTATATACTGATCATTTGCAAGTTATAAGAAATATACAATCTACCTAACGACTGATATTTTCTTAATAATAGCGACCTGTCTGACTTAGATGTTGCCCGATAAGTTTTAATTGGCATTAGTTTCGTCCTTTCACTTTTTCAATCGGCTCACCTCGGTATTAAGTTACGGAAAGAGCCGAGTCGATCCGAATGTGTGTTACCATCATGCATGGTCACAGTGTTGGTGAAAGTCCCACCCTGTGCGGTTATAGATAGAACATACACGGCACATTATACATACATACGGTGAAAACACATACAAGTAACGGTACTCAAGATACCCTCTTACATAGAATGTTTTACACATAAAACTAAGGACCAATAGTCATTTATATCGTACGGAATATATACATAGTCTCAAGGAAGACCCATATGTATAATTTCGATGTTTTAAGTATATATCCCTTTGGTTTTGCATTTTCAAACTATTATTGACTTATAGACCCCACGGCGAGACAACCTGGGATGATTTAAATTTATTCATTATTAAACATGTAATGAAGATTTATGGGAGAAAGTTTTTATGGATGTCAACTTCTTTATCATGAGGAACACAACGTTTCGGAGTATATCCTTGCTCCTTCATCAGGTGAATGAACCTGAAAAGATGGCAACTTCTTTATTATGAGAAACACAACGTTTCGGAGTATATCCTTGCTCCTTCATCAGGTGAATGAACCTGAAAAGATGGCAACTTCTTTATTACCAGGAACACAGCGTTTCGGAGTATATCTTTAATCCTTCATCAGGTGAATGAACCTGATGAAGGAGTAAGGATATACTCCGAAACGCTGTGTCCCTCATAATGAAGAAGTTGACATCCATAAAAACTCTCTTCCTTATGTGTATCACTTCTAAATGCCATTCAAAGACCTGAAAATGAAGATTTAGGCTGAACTGCCAGTAAAATATCGTACTTTGTATGTTAATGATGGATAAGAATGAACCAAACAATAAATTGTATTCTACGGGGAGGCATTTGTTAATGGTACCGTGGTTGTGTTTTGGACCTGACGTCAGAAGCATTTTAGCTGTGTAAACTGGTAACGTTTACTATTTTTGTCAAATCCAAATTTATAATTTTTTATGTCTCACAATTTATACGACTTTGAGACTTAACAATTTTCGAAAATACTTATCGAGCATGGTTCTGGTAGTTTAGTGTTGTCTTCATGTATTGAAGCAAAAATGATAATGAAAAATATTCTTAATTTCTTTCTCGTTCAAACCGTTCACAATTGACAGAAAACACATGTTTCAATTAGTGTAAAGTACACAAAGCAGATGTTACATGTTCGCATTTATGTAATCAATAATTGCATTCTTAATTCTTTGGTAACCATTTTCACTACATAAAAGTACAATCTCCAATTTGAAAGAAAGAACGCGTTTCTTACAGTCACACTAAAATGAATACAAATATCGCAATACGTCTGATTTCGAATACTATAAACAGCCGGAAAAAAAAGATAAATATAAAGTTGGATTCGATAAAAACAATTACAAACGCATTTTCTTCTTTTTCTCGTCAGTTTATTTTTCCTACAATACGACGTTTATAGGTTAATCATTGTATATTTACAAAGGCGAACGTTTGTTTTCACAGCTAATTTGCCCTTGACACCTAAAGGAATCTATTTCAAAGGATAGTCCAAACTGGGTATTTCTTTCACTGGGATTTATATTTAGAAATGAATTCCTATAAGTGTTGGCTCTACAAAATGTTAATTTATTTAATAGTGTTTCTCCGTTGTTGCTCGAAAATGAAAATGAAATGATCTTTTACGTTTGAAACACATGCTGTAATGAAAGCAGAGACTGACATGTAAAATGACATAGCAGAATTTTATTTCACATATGTGGGGAGAATATTTTGGCAGTGATGGCATGTTCACTCAGTGATTTTAAGGATTTAATACAACACTATTCTACATACTACATTTATAAGAAGATCGGTATATCGCGTATCACAATGTTATTGCTTATCATAAACATTCTGAATGACTTCGCTGTCAGGATCTAGCAAACCTACATCAAACAAATGATTGATTTTCAAAAGGAACATTTAGTTTTATACTTTTACCCCAATGAATTATTTTTACTTATTATAAACATTATGTATGACTTCGCTGTCTGCATCACACAAAGCTACATCAAACAGGGAATTGAACCACATGGTATTAAATAATTAATTTTTCAAAACGAATGTTTCGTCTTTAAGTTTTACGTCAATCATTTAATTTTGCTTATTATAAAAAATATGTATGACTTCGGTGTCTGCATCTAACAAACCTACATCAAACATTTTCATAATTTGTGAAACATAAAATGGAACCAATTATTAACAAACGACTGATTTTTTAAAACGAACATCATTTTAAAGAGAGAGAGCGACTTATTTTGCATATAAGACTATACGAACTACAATACAAAATTTCATTTAAAATCTTTTATGTCAATGAATTATTTTTGTTAAGGAAGAAGAAAGTGGAGAACAGTTTAACACTGCGTTGAAACTAATTATGACACATCTATTCAAGTTTCGACAAATATATTGTAAATATTGAATATACTTTGTAAAGTGCGTTCTGCAATTCCACAGCAAACATTTCTAACAAAGTCTGAACTGAGGTATACCTAACAACATATTTCACTGTGTACATGAGGTAAAATATACAACAAAACACTTTTTCTGTGGCGCACGTTTTACAATTTTCACGATTCACGATTACTACACTGCCCAAGACAACACGCGCTTTCAATGAATATGGAAAAATGTAAGTTTGGAAGAAAGTTAAAGAAAGACATCGAGCGGTAGCCAAAGGCGGTAACATATAAAATGTCATGTGAGTTAAACACGTGATATCGGATAACCCGTTTTGCACAGGACACCGACGTTCTTACAATCACTACAGCATCTTGACTTGTGTGTAGAATCAATTATCCTAAAAAGCACAATATTATAAGCCTAGTTTTAGGATTAAGCAGCGTTTGGAATGAACGCTCGATAGTTACCTTTAAATGAATAATTGTTTAAAATATAACTACTTGAAAGGATGAACGATGATCAGCATATTATTTTGGCACAGTGCATTTAAATCCCGGAAATATACACTGCTCAAAACAACTTAAAGAACTTCAGATTCCATTACTTTACTACAGTTAACCTTCAAGGTATATGGTTGCATTATTAAAGTATCAAGTGTTCTTAAATTCTTTCGAGTAGTATACTTCAACAATTTTCCATCTAACAGCAATATCACCTCTCGCATCCCTTTCTTCACAGACCTGTGACGGTTATCAGAATATAAAAGCGTTTGGGGAAATTACATGGCACCAAAGCATTCCAATATCATTGAATCACTGTTACAGAGACAAACACACTTCTCTCTGATGCGATACTATATATGCAAACCGATGGATAAGAGAGATACAGTCTGGTTGTCGTGTATATCACAACAGCGTAAATGTTAATAAATGCATTTGTATACATATTCGATGTCTGCATTGCTGACCCGAAACTGGTTCAGCAATATGTCATGGCGGCCGTAATGAATTTCAGATGTGAACAATGTAGTTTCTTGAAAATACTAAAACATACCGAGGTGAGAGCCTGTAAAACAGTTCGTGTGCTTAAACATATAATCGTAATGTATATGATGTAATGAATATACTTAGCAGAAAAATTAAATGCTATGCACACTTTGATCATAATTTTTATACATGTATGAAGTTGGCGATCAGATGGTATAGTCAGTGGTTCGTGCATTCGGACTGAACCCGACAAACCCAAAGTACTGTGCTAGTAAATACCAGCACCAAACCGTGTTATTTCATACACTGACATTTGCATTCAAACCTGGTTTGGTGACAGTAAAATTTTATTTAATTGTTCGTTATTACTCAATTCTTCAACATGAAAGCACGTTAAGCTATATGTCTTCTCAAATGCCATGGTAGTCTCTCCTAACATGATGAAAACTTTTAAAACTTCTAAACTTACAAATGTTCGGTCCCTAATCAGAAACGTATGGCGAAGAGAAAGTTTAAGTTTGAAAGTCATCCTTCAGACGCAGATTACATAAACATGTTCCTTACATCGCAACTCGGATGAGGTGAGTTCGCCATAGAGTAAATAAATTATCATGTCAGATGGGCATTCTATCATATTCTAAACACATGGGAAATGTTTATACAGATCGCAATATTGCATTTGATATAAATCAGTGTAGTTCTGGGTCCGTTGTCAACTGTATGTCTATCAACTGACATAACAGAGGGACTGGTAGACGTGTATGTTTTGTACGGGCGTGAACCAGTTGATTCCCTTTCTCTCAGTTGAAGAACCCGAGTTTTCCTCCTTATATATAGAACTAGTAATATACAATTAGAAACGTTTCAACCAATATACATTCATATAAACCATCTTTGTTAACACACTATATATTTTGAAAAATGTACAAGTTCCTTTGATCGTCTGCTCAGAAAGCGCCGACGGAAATAAAAGTCTTTTTTTTCCAAAGGGTGGAATATCCCTCAAACGATATCACGAATACAAGTAGTAAAAAGGTCGAACTTGCCAAATGCGAACATTACAACCACGCATGTTCATTTTACAAGGGATCGTCTTGTAAGTCGTGGTGTTGGCAGTTTCTCATGAAGCGTCTATGTTTGGTTTACATCAGTGATCAGTCGACTATCCAAGAGTGTTGAACTGTCGCCGTACCATCCCGACATGAGCGCGTGGTATCTGACGCACAGTTTCTTTGGTTACCCTTGACAACCACGTGGATGGCTTGGCTAAGAAATGGAAATATCTGTTGCAGAAATCCACCGAATTCAATGCACATTGAGTTGCACCATTAACAGTCAATACACTATATGCATATTTAAATAGTGGCAACTCTATTGAAAAACGTCAGCGCATTGAACACCAAGACGCGTGTTTTCCGATTTCAAGAAGCACCTCCAGTGCGGAGGATATGTTCCAGGTCCATGGTACGGACAGTGTACCATTCCCGCTTTCCGGAAGGACTTGGGGAGTCTTGTGAAACATTACTGTGTTTTTTTCACGTGTTCTCTACCTGCATCTGCTCAGCTCAAGTGTTTTGTGGCACGTTTTGCACTTGACATAGCAACACCAGTAGTACTTGCACTCACACCTCTCCACGACCTCCATAGTGAAACTGTGGAAGCCCCGCCCACAGCACATGGAGTCACAGCCGCCGGACTCGTAGCTTCTGTCGTCACAGAACCTGAAATAACAATAATTCAACATTAGTTTTTCCTTGAAATATGAAACCGTAAATCAACTGATAGCGATTGATTCAATGTCTGGGTACCTGGCACAATGTCTTTGAAGAATCGGGGAATCCTATGAACAGACGCCACAGATAATCCTGAAGGAGAGGTGAAATGGAGTTGAACGTCGTACTTAAGAATATTTCGCTCTTATGACGACATGTATGCGTGTGTATGTGGCTGTTTGTACTAGCCCAGATTTAAGCTGGTTTTATAGTGCTAGCTCACTGAGATACCATGCCGCAGTTAAGCATGAATACCCCACTTAGACACATTATACTGAGTCTCAGAGCCGACCAGTCCCATTAATGCCGACTGCCAGGCAGGGACCAACAAGTACCATATTTTAACGTCTTTTGGTATGACGAGGCCGGGATCGAATCCGCGACCTTCCGCTCTCCAGAGAATCCTAGAATCAAGATGGTACAAAACATCACAGGGTAGATGGTACAGAAAATCTTAGGGAATATGGAACAGAAAATCCTAGATTAAAAATGGTACAATACATCATAGGTACAGATGGTACAGGCAATCTCATAGATATAGATACTCCCGGTAGTGTCAGATGTTACAGATAACCACATGGTACAGGCAGTCGTCTGGTCACATGGACAGACAATCATGTAGTCAGCTGTCATACAGACAAACGATCCAATTTCGTCAGTTCTACACCTTTATCTCAGGAAAACAAGGATTTACAACCATTTCAACTTGATCTGAAGCACGCTGTCCAAAGACAACACAACAGACTGGGTGGTAGTAGCGATCCCTGTGTGTTTCCTATCGGCGTGTCAAGTCCACTAAAACTCTCCGTACTATCAAGCAATGAGATATCAAAGGGCGGGCCGATTCTATGTCTCTAAAAAGAGTTCCATAACCTAACATATAACTCTTTCAATCATATTTTGTGCAAACAACGTTAACATGAACCCATTTAATACAAGTGTCCACACATATCTCACTAATGGCTGACATCAGTTCGTTTCAAAATACGAGGACATGTGCATCTACCCGATACTAGACAAGATAGAACACATACAGTCTGAGCTTATGGAGTTCCATGAAGTCGAAGCTCTATAAACATATGGCGTCGATTATTCGGAATCTGAAGGTACTATATCTTATCTAGCGTTGATAGTGTGATACTAAGGTGTGTGAATCTCCTCCGTGACTGTCACTTTGATAATCCTGGCAGCGGACCGATGCTGAATAATGCAGCCTGACAAGGGATATACAGCAGTGTGCGAAATAGTTTCCAAATGTTGCTAGTCAGTCGGACTAACTATGCCTGAAAGTTACTAGCCCACAAAATAATTTACTAGCCCGACATTTGAATGTAGAAACTAAGCAAAAGATCACAAAGACAGATGAGAATAAGATATTGTCGGCATGACACGAGTTTCATCATTAAGCTGCTAATATGATGAACATTTTTATCAGGCCATAACCTTGCATGATTTAACAGTGTATTATAACTTAAGAGTGATAAATTTACAAATTGACCCCATGAAAATTCACTAGCCAGCCGGGCCGGTGACTGTGGAAATTTACTGGCCTACTGAATTTTTACTAGCCACGGGCTAGCGGGCCAGTGGCTGTTTCGCACACTCTGATATACACCACCTGCTTTCAATCACACGTTTCTACCCCGTACACTGCATCACCGTCTCAATAAAGAGTAGCCAATTACAGCTGACACGATATGCGTGGGAACGAATGTTATTTACGACAATATTTCCAGCCATTTCATAGCATTATGTTCTAGTGGTGGTCCGATTAATAAGAAATCATCGAAGATTGGTCGCAGTGCCTAAACGACCAAGCAATCGATCATGTTTTCTCATAATCGAACACAAACAATTCTGGAACACTTGTTTTCATTAACAGTATTTATCACTAGGTTGGTTTTGTCATACATTTCATAAGTCACTAGAAGCTCGTTCCATGTCATGAAATTTATATTCCTAACATACTTGTCATCCTTTAAAGATGATTTTTTTTTTGCCAAAAAACCCAAAGAACTACGTGTTTTTGTCCTAATTTTTTTTTGCATTAACAAATTTCATAAATGACGCTAACCAATTATTTTCAATGATTGATCGGTTGGAATGAACCAATCATCAATTATGAAATTTTAACCAATTCCCAACACTATTATGTTCACAGTGGTATCGTGAGTGAATGGTATGGGACTATTTCTGGTACTGATAATGGTCCAGTAATATTACATCCTGACGGCTGGGGCTAAATCGAAAAAAAGTACCAAAGAAAAGTCCTATACAAGAAAAGTGGCGTTCTGGGTTTAGAAGGACCAAAGGTGTTCGAAGTACTGATGAGATGGTCCATCAGATACTAAGGGTTATTGTTGCTTCTCAGGGTAAGACCCCAACATTGCTACAGTTCGTCAAGTCATTCCTGGTGTCCCCTGCGTGACTACTGAAATATTGTTAAAAGTGACCTAAAACAGTTTGTACCCACTCTATTTCAGACAAATCGGACACTGCCAGAAAATCCTACTCTAACTGTATTTATAATACAGGACACTTATATTTCCAATGAAAAGGTTCACCAGATATTTTGGGGTCGACAAAAAATATTGGGATGTAATGATAAAACCAATTAGAGCACATTTGAACGCACGGCTGTTTCATAATTGTATTGAAAATACAATTCCCAAGCGATAAAAGGAAGAAATTCTCTGAAGCGTTCTTTCCCCTTGCCTTTATTTATTAGTACAAGGGAGGCCATAGCGAGTCTCCTCGTAACGTGAGTGGTCTAAGATGACGCACATTTGCAGAAAATGAGTCTTGTTTCCGTCACTTGGACAATTTATGACTGGCTCTATCACATGTTTACGACGCCGGCATATGTTGTGTCTGGCAAAGCAATATATAGGACTGCACACAGTCTAGAAGGTCTGTGGAATACACCTATGGGAGCATTTCTCTCTAGCGAGTGTTGGAGCTGTTTATTGTATTATAGGTTTGATATTATTATTGGGGAGAACCTGGTATCACTGATTACAAGACAATACTTGGTCATTGCTGCTGTAACCTTAAGTAAGAATGGCACAAAGCGCTGTTTGACGGTGTTCAAACCTCAATAGCAATTCAGAGAGAGAGAGAGAGAAAAGTGAGATAGATAGATAGAGGGGTAGAGAGATACAGAAGGAGAGAGAGGGAGAGATAGGTAGAGAGAGTGAGAGAGACAAGAGAGAAACAGGGGACAGGAGGCGGGAGAGATAGGTAGAGAGAGGGAGAGTGAGAGAGACAAGAGAGAAACAGAGGAAGAGAGGAGGCAGGGAGAGATAGGTAGAGAGAGGGAGAGTGAGTGAGCGAGACAAGAGAGAGACAGAGGGGATCAGAGGAGGGGGGAGAGATATAGATATATAGATAGATAGAGACAGATGCAGAGAAAGAGGGAGAGAGAGCAGAGATAGAGAGGGAGAGACGATAGAGAGAGGAAGAGAGAAAAGAGAGAGAGTTTAGTTTGATGTAGGCGAATATAAAAATCACGTTAAATCATAACAGGAATAATCATAATCGGAAGGAAGAGGAAATAAGTGAGGGATAATTTTCATTACTTAAACGTCAGCATCATGCATATATTTGATCTAGACAGACTGTACATTCAACGCTTTTAAGCATTTGATCATGGATTCTCTGACAGGATCGACAATTAACCCTGTTCAGGATAAGTATTGCAAGCTCTGTCACGTGGAAAGAAAGGAAGAGATCAGAGAGGTACACTAACCTTCCGTGTGTTCCTATTGAGCCTGTCTTCTCGTCCGGACTGCAATAGTCTGGAGACTTTGTATAATATATGAGTTGATCGTCCCGAATGTCTCTGATGTTTTTCCTAATAGGAACTAGCACTTTCATTTTCTTTTTTCTTTTCCTTCTGACTTCCACTGCCAGAGCGTAACGGTCTTTCAAAGAAGCCCCAATGGTCTCGAAATCTGTCAGTGCTTTCCAGCAAGTCTTTATAGAACACGACCCGGACACGCCGTGACACTTGCAGGCCGTTATCAGACTCTCTGTCACCACCTGGAACACAAGTCACGTATTAACGCTGAACGTATAATATACCATATGACCAGTATATCTGTCATATCTTCAGGCCGGAAGATCTACATAAACTTTACGACCCGAAAATAGACGTAAACTTCAGGACTAGAAGTTCTATATAAACTTCACGACCGGAAACTCTTCATAAACTTCAGGCCGAAGATCTACATCAACCTCACGACCGGAAGATCTGCATAAACTTCACGACCGGAAGATCTGCATAAACTTCACGACCGCAAAATTTACATATTCTTCACGAACATGAAGATCTACATAAACTTCAGGCCCGGAAGATCTACATAAACTCAGGCCGGAAGATCTACATAAACTTAGGCCGGAAGATCTGCATAAACTTCACGACCGGAAGATTTACATATACTTCACGACCGGAAGATCTACATAAACTTCAGGCCGGAAGATCTACATAAACTTCACGACCGGAAGATCTGCATAAACGTCAAGACCGGAAGATCTATATAAACATTATGATCGGGAGACGTACACGACCGGTAGATCAATATAAACTAGGTAGCAGGTACATGTATAGTATGACCAGAAATTATTGAGAATTTGAGGAAGATGTTTAATTGGATTTCTAGTATAAACAACCTTGACCAGCTATCAAGTGCTTGGTTTCATTCAAGAGAGACAACTCCGTTAATCCTTTTTCATTAGTTTGTAAAGAGTTATCGCACTTTGTTTACTTGCTAGCAGACGACATTTTCAGTGATCCTCATGGATGATTTAGAGAAGAGGAAGTTGATTTTAGAGTATTATAACAAGGACATCAGATCAACTAAAGTGATTTCAAGTAGAACAGGCATCCCTTTGTCCACTGTTTATCGTGTTTTGAAAAATATTGCAAATGGATATGGCATTGAGCACCAGGGAGGCGCAGGTAGGCCCAGAAAATTGACTGTCGGTGACAGGAGGTGGCTTGGTATTTTTGTTTCTAAAAACAAACGAAGGAGTTTAGAAAACTTAAGGCTGATAGAGGAACTGCGGCTGTCTGTAAGGAGACAATTAGAACTAAGCTGCATGCAATGGGTTGGCAGAAAAGTCGAGGAATTCCATCACTGATCATGAAACCTGAACAAAAGGAGCGAAGGTTGAACTGGTGATTACAGCATAGAAATTTTAACTGGGACAATGTGATTTTCTCAGATGAAAGTTCTGTGTGGCTGTTTCCTAATACACTGAAATTCTGGACCAAACAAACTGAAAAACCTTTGTATCAGCTCCCAAAGTACAGTCCGAAATTTAACGTGTGGGGTGGCATATCTGTGTTAGGGGCAACGCCCCTCTGTATATTTGAAGGGAATATGAACAGTTAGCGGTACACAGATATTCTCGAGGGACATTTACTTCCATCTGCTCATGTGTTCTATGGAAATGTTTGGATTTGCCAGCAGGACAACGACCCAAAACATCGCTCAAAGCATTCACAGGCCTGGTTTCGGACCCAAAATATGACATGATTAGATTGACCAAGCTATAGCCCTGACCTAAATCCAATAGAAAATGTTTGGGGACTTATGAAGGAAAGTGTCAATAAGAAAAATCTGACAAATATTGCTGAAATGAAAGAAGAGGTGGTCCGATATTGGGACAGCATTGACCACGACTTTCTAACTTCTTTGATCAGTAGTATGCCCCGCCGCATTGCTGCCCATGGTGACTTGACAAAATACTAACTGTTCACCTGTCTTTGAATCTAGAGTTATGTTCTGCTAATATTCACATTTGATATGTGAGTAATGAGTGAAAAAAATAAAACATTTACAATCTTTAAATTCTCAATAATTTCTGGTTGTACTGTATATAACATACTGAAATCATTATAAACTACACACGGAAGATACATAAATCACACCAGCAAGATGAACATAAACTACACCAAGCATATCAATATAAACTACGATGCAGGTACATATAAATAACATACAGAAACTGGACGATCAATATAAACCACAAAAGATTGATCAACAGAAACTAAACCAGGTAGATCAACATAAACCACACCAGGTAGATCAACATAAACCACACCAGGTAGATCACCATAAATCACACCACGTAGATCAACAGAAACTAAACCAGGTAGATCAACATAAACCACACCAGGTAGATCAACATAAATCACATCAGGTAGATCAATATAAATCACAGCAGGTAGATCAATATAAATCACACCAGGTAGATCAATATAAATCACACCAGGTAGATCAACAGAAACTAAACCAGGTAGATCAACAGAAACTAAACCAGGTAGATCAACATAAACAACACCCGGTAGATCAACATAAATCACACCAGGTAGATCAATATAAATCACACCAGCTAGATCAATATAAATCACACCAGGTAGATCAACATAAATCACACCAGGTAGATCAATATAAATCACACCAGGTAGATCAATATAAATCACACCAGGCAGATCAATATAAATCACATCAGGTAGATCAATATAAATCACACCAGGTAGATCAACATAAATCACACCAGGTAGATCAATATAAATCACACCAGGTAGATCAACATAAATCACACCAGGCAGATCAATATAAATCACACCAGGCAGATCAATATAAACTAAACCAGGTAGATCAACATAAACCATACCAAGTAGATCAACATAAACCATACCAGGTCGATCAACATAAACCACACCAGGTAGATCAACATAAACTACACTGCGTAGGTCAACAGAAACTAAACCAGGTAAATCAACATAAATCTCAGCAGGTAGATCAACATAAACCACAAAAGATTGATCAACATAAATCACACCAGGTAGATCAATATAAATCACAGCAGGTAGATCAACATAAACCACACCAGGTAGATCAACATAAACCACACCAGGTAGATCAACATAAATCACACCAGGCAGATCAATATAAATCACACCAGGTAGATCAACATAAACAACACCAGGTAGATCAGCACACACCTCACCAGGTAGATCAACATAAACTACACCGGGTAGATCAACAAACTAAACCAGGCAGATCAACATAAATCACACCAGGTAGATCAACATAAACTACACCGGGTAGATCAACAAACTAAACCAGGCAGATCAACATAAATCATACCAGATAGATCAACATAAACCATACCAGGTAGATCAACATACTAAACCAGGCAGATCAACATAAATCACACCAGGTAGATCAACATTAACCACACCAGGTAGATCAACATAAATCACACCAGGTAGATCAACATAAACCACACCAGGTAGATCAGCACACACCTCACCAGGTAGATCAACATAAACTACACCGGGTAGATCAACAAACTAAACCAGGCAGATCAACATAAACCAAACCCGATAGATCAACATAAACCACACCCGATAGATCAACATAAACCACACCAGGTAGATCAACATAAACCACACCAGGTAGATCAACATAAACCACACCAGGTAGATCAACATAAACCACACCAGGTAAGCAGACCTATTTTACGTCTCGACATAACCGTCCTACAATCATTCTCCACATTCATAAGCTAATCGTAAATCACGCTAAGCATTAGATACACATTGACGACATTCCTACTAAAAGAGAACATATATATCTTCCTAACAATGACAGTGAACCTTTAAGAGTGGAATAGTTGCTTCAAAGTTCTGACGCCAGATCCGAAATGAGTGCCCGTCAGTTTCGTGGCAAACATCCCCCGCATCAAAGCTATCTCTGGTCTAATCAAACGAGCTGAAAAAGCTCAAAAAATATTTCTGTCTACTGTGCCTTTCTTGAGATGAGTGTTCTAACTGAATCGCAAATTTCTTATCAGCCAATCGCACTTCTTGTTCCCATTCTCCGCGGAACACTTAAGTGTTTCCGCCATTTTGTCCGTGAGAAGACGAACATTTGTCGAACATAATTTATCGCTGAATTTCAAGACTGCTTGATACAACACAGGCTTATGACTGGCTTTGAAATCTTACAGAGTCAGAAAGAGACATTTGCAGACAAGATAGAAGGAAGCTTATCAGGCAGACAGAATGTGTTGAATTGTGTTGCCAAGATTTAAATAACTGCAGCATTCCCAAAGGTTTAACAGACAAGCCAGCGCTGACTTACAGTAGTTCTTGTTAATAAAACATAATGTTACACAAAGTAACAGTTGAGACACTAATGTCAGGGGTGATTGAATAGTATCTAAAATATTCTAACTATATATCCCATTACACAGTGCACGACAATACAAAATACACAGGCCTGACTAAGGATTATTCAAACTCAGAATGAAAGAGTGTGTGTTGATATTCTATTAATATATCCCATTACACAGTGCATGACAATACAAAATACACAGGCCTGACTAAGGATTATTCAAACTCAGAATGAAAGAGTGTGTGTTGATCAACGCCAGTCGGCAAGGCCACGACAGGCTGTAGATGATCGATCCTGGACCAGGCAAACCAGTGATTCTACTACTATTTGCTACTACTTCATGAACTCTCCACATCTGGTCACTATGATGTGCTAGCAACCTGAAAACCTGATCATCTTTCGTGACAAGAGGAGTATTGTAGCCTTATGGTTGCAGCACTCGTTAGTCACGGCTCGGGTCTGAGTTCGATTCCCCGAATTGGTACACTGTGTGAATCTTATTTCTGCTGGGTAAATTATAGGGGCTGGTTCTCTAGAGAGTGAGCTAGCTATAGCAAAGCGTAATCTTTTACATAATCTGCCATACCGACCCTGAAACAATATATCCAAGGAAGCCTATGCAAGTCTAGAATATGTGGCAAGTCTAGATTTCCAAAACGAAGAAAGTGTCTGGGCTCATTATGTTTTGTGAACAGTTTTCTACTGTAAAATATGTTCACTTCAGAAATTAGATGTTAGTCTATATATCTTACACAAACTGCACTAAAAGATATATGCATGAACAACTTCCTTATAAAAATAGGAGCGATGTTTCGGCATAGGTTCATCGTTATCAAGAAGTGATGAACA